TTTTTTTTTTTTTTTTTTTTTTTTTGAGACAGGGTCTCGCTGAGTCACCAGGTCACCCAGGCTGGGCTTGGATTTGGAGTCCTCCTGCCACAGCCTCCAAGAGTGCTGGGATTACAAGCGTGTGTCATCACTCCTGGATATTGAGGGATTGAAGGTAGGGGACTTTTGCCTGTCAGAGGATTTTTGGCGATGTCTAGACATTCCGGTTGTCACACTTAGAATGCAAGTGTTATTGCTACTGGCCTTCTGAAGGTAAAGACCAGGGATGCTGCTGAACATCAGATGGAATCGTCTAGTCCAAAGGTTGTTAGTGCTGTGCCGAGATTGAGCAACACTCCCTAGCACCCGGCCCATCAGGGTCCTACTCATTGATTCCCCTCCAAACCTCAGTTTCCTCAGTGGTGAGGGGAGCAGCTTGGAAAGAGCTGAGGGTAAGGAGGGCAGTTATTTTCCTGGCATGTGGTGTGCTTTGGAGTCGGATTCCCCTGCTCACTCAGGCCCAGCAGGAAGCAGATCTGGGTGCTGTGGAGAAGCTCTGTCATGCCCACACGTGCACTGGAGGGCCACGGCGGGGTCTCAATTTTGCTCTGGGGCCAATGGTGGAGTTTTTCTTATATACCCTGAGCTCTGGACAATGCTGTGGCCTCTACCGGAATCGCTGTCCTGCTTGTGTGAACTTTGCCCCAGACAGACACTAGATCAGAGCAGAAAGAGGTCAGGTGTGTCCCAGTGACTCGGACAAGCCACTGACACTTCCCTTTGGGCCTGACCACCCCTGTCTGTCCCTGGTGGAGCGTAAGGGAGAGTGTGTTTTTCCTGGTGACCTTCCACCTGCGCATCTCCTGGGATCTCTGCCCCAGGCTTTGGAGCAGGCCTAGGTGCTGCTCTGAGGCCCGAGGGAGTTTCCAGAGTGAGCTCACACATCTGCATTGTGTCAGAAGTGGCTCCTGGCTTCCTTTCCAGCTGAGCCAGGCAGGGTAGGGAGGAGTGGAGGACTCAGCCACTGGCTGATGAGTGCTGGCTGACCTTGCATAGCATGGCGGCTGGGAAAGGGAAGCTGCCAGGCCCAAGCAGCTCTCAGGATACAAGTGTCCTCATGGGAGAAGCTGCCATGTGCCCCACTGTTGGGAAGAAGGGCTTTCCTGGGATGGCCCCTCACGTAACCTTTGTCTCCCTGAGATTTAGATAGCGCAAGGAGAGCCCCTCTTTCCTTCTCATGTCCAGGGAGGGACAGAGCTGCCCACACACCTTTAGGGCTCCCAGTAGGGTTGTGCAAGAACCCGGAGGCAAGTTTGTGGTAAAAGTTGTGGCAGCGGCTGATCCCCAGTGCTACCTGGACCCTGCAGGATCTGGTGTGAGCCAGGTGGGCCCTGGCCCAGGGAGTGGGGGGAGGATGGTGATGGATGAGGGAGCAGGTGATTCTAAGCCCCGGGTGAGGGGTGCAGTTCAGGGCTAGCAGGCATAGTGGTCTATGAAAGCGTGCCCAGTAGGGTGCAAGTCACTTAAACAGTCTGTGCCTCAGTTTCCCCAGCTGGACAGTAGGAGCATTGTGAGGTGAAGACTGCAGTGGGAATTAGCTAGTGTGTTAATCGGCTAGTGGAGCCCTTATGGTCATGGACTTGGGACATCTTAGGAGTGTGGCTGCTGTGTAAGACACACTCAGTCATGGCCGAGGCCCTGTCTTGTGGGCTGTTGGGGGGCCAGGTAGGAACATGCATTCAGAGGAGCAGCACTGGTATTATTCTGTGGGAGCGGCTATGTCTGGGGTGGTGGCCAGGGAAACAAGGATGGGTTTCCATCTGGGCCTGAACGGCTGCCCAGTCCCGGGGTGTCCCTACCTGCCGGGCTGTGTATCCCTCATAGTATTAGGGGATCACAGAGGTGATGGCCCTCACCCTGGCTCTCTCTGGCTGAGGCTCCAGGGGCTGGGACTGGCCCAAATGGACAGGCCTCACTTTTCTCCCCTGCACTTGTGCCCGGTGTTACAGGTGGCACCAGGAGGCCTTCTTGGTCTCCTTGTATTCTGGCTTCCTGCGGCCACTAGGGGACCTGAAAGAGCAGGATGAGGGGACCTGTCATGGGACTGGGGACCTTAGCAGCCAGGCTGCTTAACGACAGCCTCCTCCTCCTGCTCGCCTCAATTAGATGAGATAATGTTTGCAAATGCCCTTTGACTAGCTGAGAAGCGCTTTCCAAGCCTTAGGGGTTGTTGCTTCCGGTGGAGGGGCTCATGAGCCGAAGGCGCTTGGAGCTGCCCCTCCATGCGCGTCATTTTGCCTTCTGACCACCTCGCTTGTAGGGGGCTGCAGAGTACAGAGGTTTAGAGCACAGGGCCCTGGCTAGCGGTGTAGCCTCACCCACTCCTTGACTGTGACACCTCAAAAGTTACTCAGCCTCTTTGATCCTCAGTTTCCTACCTGTCAAGTAGAGCCCTGTCACCTCTGGGGCTCGTGGCTTAGATATAGGGGCCGTGTGAGAGGTGATGGCGGAGCTCAGCCAGGACGAAACGAAGCCAGCAGCCTGCTGTTGCTTGTGTGCCAGGTACCGTGTTCAGGATCTTTGCTGTCATCTCTGCTGGTTCTCTGTGTAGCTGGGCACCACCCATCTCCCAGCACAGGAAACAGGCTCAGCAGTGGCAGTGTGCCCACGGTCTCCCAGCAGCAAGGTGGCCCAGCCAGGTTTTGGCCCTGCCTCTGGCCCCAAGCTCTTCTCATTCTTCAACAAGAGAACCCTATGCCGCCCCAAGCGAGGTAGGAGGGGAGGTGGTGGACAGGAGGCTTTGCGAGCCTGCCCAGTATGGGCGCAGCCAGGTGGGCCTATGTCCAAGTACCCCCAAGCCCTGGCAGCTGCTGAGGCTAGGGCCAGTCTCTTTCAGGGGAAGTGGAGAGCCCCAGGGTAAGGTTCTGGGAAATCAGGTTTATTAGTTCCTTAATGACTGTTTACAAACTGAAAAGTGTCTGCCTGGCATGTTCCTTCCCTGCGGAGGGGCTCTGTGCAGACGGAGCAGAACTGAGGATGCCCAGGCCACCCCACCCCCAATGTGTTGAGGATAAGGCCCTGGGCTGACCTGCCCCTCCCAGCTGGCCAGCTCAGGGTCTGTTTCTGGCTGAGCAGCATCAGACAGGGTACTTAACCTCTCTGTGAGAGGTGGAGTTTTGTCCCTCAGCTCAGCGTGCTCTTAGTGTCAGCCCTGGTTAGCCGAGACAAAGCGGCCAGGTCTGAGATGCTGGGAGGCTCCTCAGTGGATAATCCACCTGAGGCTCAGAAATGTTGCCCAAGGGCACACAGCCATAGGGGTCGACCTGTATGTTCTCTGTCTGTAGTCTGACCAGGAGGATGGGGTAGAAACTGGGTAGCCCATCTATTTGCAAGCCCAAGGCAGTGCCTTAGCTATACACATGGGTTGGTCATGCCTTGGGGTCAAGGAGCCCCTAACGGAAGTACAACAGACCTTGTCTGCTTTCCACCCCAGCCTGAACCCATCCTGCCCGAACTGCTGAGCATGTGCTGGGCCTCTGCTGCTTCTCAGGACCAATGAGAACCCAATTCCCTTTCCCCAAGCCTGAGAGCAAATCTGGGAAATTGGAGCAAAGCTCAGTTCACATCAACCCTGTGTTGATGCGACACCTGGTGTGCCCGCTTCCTCTCCAGGCCCCTCCTGTGTCCTGGTGTGTGGCTGCCAGGGAGGGGCCACAGAAGTGGGGCAGAGTATGCAGCTTCCCCAAAGGAGGTTGGGCTGCTAGTTGAGCATCCTGGGACCCAACCATATACCTGCTCCCTTCCCACGGCCCTCCAGAGCTACAGTCACCGGGAACTGCTGTTGGCTGTCTTAAGTGTATCCCACCTTCTGTCCAGGACACCTGCATCCCAGCCCTGCATCCAGGCCCACTGGCCTGACCCCTACCCACTGGAGACTCCTGGGGTCCAGCGGTTTCCAGAGTGGGAGGGTGTCCAGTGGGGAGGCCCGGCTCTATCCCCGCATCTGTGGTGCCTGCTCTGCCCACTTCCTGGGTCAGGGTCCCCTGCAGAGTAGGAAGGTTGCCTTGCTGTCTGTTGCTCTGCTGAGTGATCCTGAGAAAGCCCAGAGGTTGGGTCAGAGGGCGTGGGGCGCACGGGAGCAGCGTGTCCCCCTCTGCCTGCCGTATGCACAGGCAGGCTCATGCCCTGCTCAGGGTGACTTCTGGGCCCGATGCCCGCTTCCCGTGTCTGTGGTGGTCTCTGACAGCTGACCACTGTAACTGGGTCAGAGAGAGCAGGGTCTGATGGGGAAAAGGCCAGAGAAACCGGCGGCCACCAAGTCCCCAAACCGGCTCTGAATTTGGGGCAAGCCTAGCAGAGGGAGGGAGAGAGCTGGGGCCGGCTCTGTGGGATTTCTGGGGTGAGAACCCACAGGCTGCCTTGCTTTCCCTTCCTCCGGGTGGCCGCCGGGCTCAGTTGAGTGTGCTGTTTGTGTCTGTGCCCCGGCTCCTATCCTCTGGGGAAGGATCCTGGAGGGGCAGGGAGCTCAGGTCCCTTCTCCTCTTGCCCTCCTCTCCTGGTGACTCTGCCCACGCCACTGACACTTGGCTTCCCGCTTGGCCACTTGCTTCTGTTGGTTCCTCCCCGTCGCCCGTGGCTCTTTCCAAGTCCTGTCCCCAGACCTTAGGCAAGCGGCTTTTCACTTTCTGCCCTTTGATGCATCCCACTGCCTCACACCAGGGCCGGGAGTGTCCAGGGATGAGTCATTGGCCACATGGGGGCCGGCGGGGGGACGCAGCATTAGATGGCAGTGCTTACATGAGCCTTCCTTCCGGGCTGGCCAGCAGGGCCAGAGAGCTCCCAGAGGTCAGCAGAACCGGCATTTTGCTGGGCCCTCTTCCTCTTTGCAGCTTTCTAAAAACACCCTGGTTCCCAGCAGTGGCGGGGAGGGAGGTTGAGTTTCGGTTTCTGTGGCCGGGAAGCTGGGGAGAGAATCAACTTCGGTGCCCCCAGCCCTGGTGCTGTCATGTGATTCAGTCCAGGCTGACACACAGCTGCCTCCGGCCTTCCGCTGCCCCCTCCCTCCTAGCCACCCACACTTTGGGCACACTGCAGACTTGCCCCCAGGGCTCCAGAGCTGGAAGTGACTTCTGAGCCAGGCTGTGGTTTCCTCAGTGCCTGGAAGGTGACCGCAGGTGGCCAGCCCCTCTTTACCTCCGTTTCCTGGTCACATCCTGCCTTCTGAATGGGGTCTCTTTCCTCCCTCACCCCGGGGGCCTTCCGCCCCCTTTTGTCCCCATTTCTGGCTGAATTTCTGGGCAAGTCTGCGGAGCCCAGGGGTGTGGGAAATCCATTCAACATTAGCAAGAGTGGGGGAGCCTCCAGAAACCTGTCAGTGTGGGGGTGTCGGTGGTAGGCAGATGGTGAAGCGGGGGCGCTCAGCCAGGCTCCTGGATATGATAGAGCTGTGTCTAGGGTAGGTTGGGAGGGGACAGTGGGCTGGCACTGTGAGTTTGGGCTCTTGCCCTCTTCTGTGGGGGAGGGGTGCCCTCCGACACTTTGCTTATGCTGGGTGCCGGTGGTGCTTCTGGTGGACCATCCTGGGGTGGCCCTGCCTATCCTGGCCACACCAGACCTTGGGAGTGTCTAGCCCCACCTTTTGTGTGGGGAAACCAGATTCTCTGGGCAGCAGAGGTGGTTTCTGAGCCTGCATTTCTGTGTACACCTGATCCTGGCTGCTGTGACTAGAGGGGCCGCTGACCCCCAGCCCCAGGTACAGATTCTTCAACCTATGATCCCTTGGGGATCTGAATACTTCACTTTTCCCCTGGATCCGTCCCACCCCCACCCCCTGCTGGACACCACCCTGAAGGAAGAGGAAATGGGGTCTGACCCACCCACAGACCCACTCCCTCTATCTGGGCCCCTTGAGTCTCCCAGCTCCCCTAGGGCCCAGGCTAGAGGTCTTTCTCTGTGGAGGGCATCTCCCCAGGAGCCAGTGTGGGCAGGTGGCCATCACCATGGCCTGGTCCTTCGGACCACCCAAACCCAAGTCAGCCGAGAAGGCAGCCTGGGATCTTGGGGAGAACAGTGGATGTGACCACAGGCAGGAGGAAGCCTGGTCCCGAGATGTCACAATTTCCTGTGTAGTGAGCATGCATAGCTGGGGGCGGAAGATAAGTGATAAGTAGGGCAGCTCCAGTGCTCCAGCACTCTTCTGCCTGGCCTCTGTCCTTTGCTGTGGATGTGGGCCATGTAAGAGCCCAGGGTGGTTCTGATAGTACCCACCTCTGCCCCGGGCACCTACCAACCCACGGAGCACAAGGAAGGGGCTGGACTTGTAGCCCATCCACTTGTGCACACACTGGATGGTGGTGATCTTGGCAGCCCCTCTACTCCGTGGTGGAGAGGCCCTGGGAGAAAGCGTACAGAAAAAACTCCATGTGTAGGCTTCCTGGGGCAGGGGACGAAGCTGGACCATCACCTTTTCCAACAGCCCCTCCTCCAGCTCATCTGGTCCAGTGTTCAGCATCCTCCATCCGGGCCCTGCAGCAGGCATAGGATGGGCAGCTCTGAGAGGACCCTTCTGAAGAGAGCTGCTTCATGGGCTGCTGTGGGGTCAGGGTGACAGCCTCTGTGCAGGATCCATGTGGATCCAGCTGAGCCATTCAGGGGGCTGGCTGGGTATGGGCCCCTCACTGCCCAGGGTCAGATAGGGGACCAACGCTTAGGCAAGTCTGCAGGACGCTGTGGAACAGCAGGTGAGGCAGTGTGGATTCTGTCCGGTGGGGAGGAGCAGGCTACCTGGAGAAGTGGTTCTCCTTACAGGCGGGAGTTGTGGGCAGCCTGGTGAGAGGTCTGGTGGGTGTGGGGCAGGTCTGAAGTTTGGACTCCAGGTTGAGTGTGGTCCCCTTTGGGTTCCAGGAAGATCCTGCCTTCCTGGCCGCTTCCTCTCCTACCTGGCTTCCTCTGCTGCCTTCTCCCTCCCCCTTGGTGCCAGTTTCCCAGGGCAGTGCCCACCCGGTGCCCCAGAAGAAGCTATGTTGGGGAACTTGCCCCTCGGAGGCCCCAGGGGAGGCTGTTTCCTCAGAGCAGCAGTGTCCTCAGGGACCGCAGGGCTCCTCAGAGCCAGCGGCCAACCCAAAGGGAGGGTCGTGGATCTGTGGTCTCAAAGGAGTGTGGGCTCGGTCACCCTGCGCTCTGGGAGAGCAGGGCCAAAGCCCAGTCTGTCGGTACCCCCTGGATGAAGTGGGGCATCCTGGGCCCAGGGCACTGCCTCAGGAGCCCACGGGGGAGTCCCCCTTGACCCATAGTGCTCACCTGGGCCGAGGACTTCTGCAGCCAAAGGCTCCCATCCCATGTGCAAAGCCTAAAGAGGGAGTGCCCAGTGGAATCAGAGGGCACCTGGATGTGCTCCCCAGACCTTTTTGCCCCCGGGGAACCCCAGACCTCTGTGGGGCTGCTTTGAAAAGCACTGGTACACTAAGCCTGGCGTTCTTCCTGCTTTGGCTCCCGGGAGGGTCTTCCAACCCTGGACACAGGCCCCCGTTTTCTGCGTTAGGGGAATGTCCCTGTCCCTCCTTTCCCTCAGGAGACCTTAGCCCTGGAACTAGATATCTTGAGTCCCGCTACACACCCTTCCTTGGCTGGGTGAGTTTGGGCAAGCTAATGAGCATCTCTGATCCTCCACTGTCCACTATAAAATGGGAGTAGTGGCCAGGCACAGAGGCGCAGGCCTATAATTTCAGCACTCTGGGAAGCTGAAGCAGGAGGATCCCAAGCTTGAGTCTAGGGTATATAATTTAGCAAGACCCTGTCTCAAAAAGTAAAAAGGGCTGGAGATGTACTGTAGCTCAGGGTAAGGGCCTTGGGTTCAATCACCAGTACCACAGGGGGGGAAAAAAAAGGAAGCAGTGATGTTGACCTTGAAGGGTATTTGAAGGACACAGAGAGACAAGGCCTTATTGGCACACAGGAGACTACTGCTGCCCAGCCACTGAGGCGCCTCCTTGTAGCTCTGGGGTTCCCTCCCAGTAGGACTTGCCATGTGTTTCACTGTGCCTTAGCGATCGCTTGCACAGGACTTCCTAAAAATACACAGAAATGCCGCTGAGCTGTTCCTTTAAAATGGTTGGTTTTTATGTTGTATAGATTTCACCTCAGTAAATTATTAATAAAACAACAAAACACACCCAGATAGTTCTGACGCCGTCTTAAATATCTGGCTGATTTTAAAAAAAAGGAAATCTTAATCAGAAGACAGCCAGCAATTCCTGGGTTGTTAAAATTAAATGTTTTTATTCTAATTTTGCAACAAAAAATAATGACGGATGTCCCTGAGACCTTAATGTTACATGAAATAAATCAGACACATGAGCTTAAATCTTGCGTGGTTTCTCTTACAGGAGAAACCCAAAGTATAAATAATGTAAAGAACAAAATCAAAGGTAGATAATAGGAAACAGAGATAGATCTTTTGTTTGTTCTGTTTTTGGTTTTGGTTTTGGTTTTTTGAGACAGGGTCTCACTATGTAGTTGAGACTCACCTGGAACTCACTGTGTAGCCCAGGCTGGTCTCGAACTCACAGTGATCCTCCTGCCTCAGCCTCCCGAGTGCTGGGATTGCAGGCGTGCGCCACCACACCCAGTGATAGATCTTTTGTAAACGGAAAAGGAGCCCAGAGATGGGAAAGGAGGGGAAGGGGAAGTAAGAAGAGTGAAGATGTGCTAAGTACAGGTTAGCCCTTCGTGGTGAGGGTGATCATTGTACACTGCAGACTGGGCTGATTAAAATTTAAAACCCTTATTTTAAAAGAATTTTTTAATCTTGATTTTAATGTCTGACTCTAGTCAGGTACCAGACTCCAGTAGTACCCATAGGGGGTCCAGGGTAGACAGACAGAGGCCCCTGGGGGCCACATTGGCCATGGGTAGGGTAGGCGGGGCTGCTGAGCAATTGGAAGGTAGGTCTTATGAGCTCCCAGCCCTCTGGGAGGCTGAAGCAGGAGGACTGCAAGTTCAAGCCCAGCCTGGGCACCTTAGCAATTTCACAAGACCCTGTCTCAAAACAGGTAGGAATGTAGCTCTGTTCAAAGGCCCTATGTTCAAAGCCCTGAACTAAAACACAATTTAAAAAGACAAAAGAAAGGACTTGACATCCGCGACCCCCTTCTTGCAGGCTGCCGGTGCCAAAGAAGCTGACGTGGAGCGTCTGTCCTGACCCCCGGTTCCCGGAGCTGAGGTTGGGCTCCCGAGCATCTGTACAGGGCTAGTGGGGCCCACAACATGCTTTAGGTGCCTTTCCACAGCCGGGGAAGCCACAGGCCAAGCCCAGATCTGAAGGTAAGAAGCTGGGGCCAGGTGGGCTGAGCCCATGGCAGCCTCATGCATGTGATTGTTTTCAACAGATACGCGCTGATAGGGGCCTGCACTTCCCTGGCACTGGAGGCCAGCAGTGAATGAAAAAGATGAATGCGGGGGGTGGGGGTGGGGGAGAGGCTGAGGCTGCTGAAGTGGAGGTGGCAGCTGAGCCGTAGCCCGTGGTGTCAGAAGGAGCTGCCCTGTCCACTGTTGGGGACCCTGACTAATGTGGGCCGAGCCCCACCATCTGTGGAGCAGCTGTTTGAGGCTTTTGTTGTTTGGTTTGAGATGGTCTCACTGTGTAGCCCAGGCGGGCCTTGAACTTCAGGCTGTCTTCCTGCGTCAGCTTCCCCGACGAGTGATTGCAGGCGTGATCACAGGGCGATTACTTGCCACCACAGCTGGCAAGACTTTTATCTTTTAACAGCCCTTTGGAGGTGTAGTGCATAAGAACCATTCCATTCACCCATCTCACACTGACACGCAGTGGTCCTCAGTACAGGCGCGGAGTTGTGAAACTCACCACAGTTGGAACGTTCTCATCACTCCAAAAACACACTCCCAGGGCCGGGGATTTGGCTCAGTGGTTTCGCTGCCTGCTTCACAAGCGCAAGGGCCTGAGTTCGATCCCCAGTACCAAAAAAACAATATAAAAAGACACACACACCCCACAAGCAGCCCCTGTCTGCTCCTGTCCCTATAGATTTTCCTTTTCAGGACTTGCAGGTGGACAGACCCCATCACAGCTGGTCTCTGGCTGCTTCTCTCATGCCATGCCCTGCGTCCATCCACGCAGTGTGCCTTTTTGTGGCAGATAAAGGGATAATATGGATCAGCCCATTTTGTTTATCCCTCTGTCAATTAATGGACATTTGGGTGGCTACTGCCTCAAACTTGCAGAGATCCTCCTGCCTCTGCCTCCCCAGCATAGGATTACAGGCGTGCGCCACCATATCTGGCACCACCCAATGCTTTTGCTCATGAGTCCTGTCCAGCACCCTCAGAAGATGGTAAAGGGTCCTGGCCTTGTAGGAGGGGAGGAAAACCTAAACCTTCTGCCAAGGACCTTGGAAGTGGAGGAGAGAAAACACACAGGGCTTCAGCCAGAAAAAGGCTATAGAGCAGCACAGGGATGCAAGGAAGAGAAGGAAACAGGCAGAGGGGAGTTGGGAGTTGGTGGCACAAGCGTGGAAGAGGCCCAGTCAGAGTGAGTCGCTGCCTCCTCTGTCCAGGGCCATTTGGCAGGATCCAGTGAAAGGCAGATGCCCTTGCCCTTCACCCAGCTTCCTGTTCCTAGAACTTGTACTGCACAGGCAGTGATGGCAAACCTTTTAGAGCTTTCAGTGATCCAAACTGCCAGCCGCGGCACGTGTGCCGTGGGCTCGCCACCCCTGACGGAGTGTGGGCTGGGTGTCTGCTGCAGCGCTGGACGGGGAACATCTTCAGTAACCACGTGTTGAGTAAATCTCAGTGCATTCCGCCTGATAAAATCTTGGCTGTCTTCAAAGAAGATAAAGTGGTCTATCTGTGTGTGGAGCTGGGGAAAGAGGTCAGAAGGTGTGTGTGTAGTGTTTAAAGTCCTGATCTTTCCAGGATCAGAGAGACGGGCAGGTCTGGACGAGTGGGGCCCAGTGACCCCTTTGTGCTTCATAGTTCTAGGTCTTCTGTTTCAAGGTACACGTCAGTTCTGTTGTTAAAGTGTTTGCCACTATGGGAAAAATAACAGGAGGCATTTATCTTTTTCTTATTTTCTTTTCTAAGACAAGATTTCACTATTTTGACCAGCTGGGCTTTGAACTCGTGGTTCAGGCGCTCCTCCCACCTCAAGAGTGGCTGGGATCCATAGGTATAAGTTGCTGTGCCTGGTTTTCATTTACTTTTGACAGGCGTTGGGGCGGGGACTGGCATGGTGTATTTGTCTCCCCTGGGAACTAGCCTGAGCCGCCATCTCCTGCTGTGCAGCTCAGGAGCCAGCACTCTGAGAAGCCCAGCAAGGGTACCTGCACCACATTGGTGGTTCATTGCACCAGGTTGTCCGGGAGCCTTTGCCTTGTCCTCCCCTAAACCCTTCTCGGGGACAAAATCAGAACCCTTTGACCACAGGAAGGTCACCTGGGGCCCTGGCCTGCCAAGGTAGCCAGATCATTCCAGCTCCAAATCCTGCATCTTTGTGCTCCTTCTATGGAGTGGTTCTTTCTAAAGCTTTGAGGCTAGAAATGGGTTGAGGTGGAAAGCTGAGGCCTCCTGAACCCTACTGATGTACAGTGAAGGTCTGAATTGGACTGCGGGGGGGCGGGCAGGGATTTAGCTCAGTGGTGCTGCCACCTGGCTCGAAAGTGCAAGGTCCTGAGTTTGATCCCTGATACCGGAAAAAAAAAAAAAAAGAAAGAGAAGGAAATAGACTGGGATAGACGCGCCACCCTGCCAGGTACAGTCTGGCTTTAATCCAACCCTGGGCAGTTTGGTTCTGAGCCTGAGCTGCCTCCCAGCTCCTTAGGTGCTGCCACCCTGCTGCATTCCACCCTGTCTCTGTTCCAGCTCCCTGCCCACCATGGCCTCAGCTGACAAGAATGGCGGAAGTCTCTCCTCTGTGTCCAGCAGCCGCCTACAGAGCCGGAAGCCACCCAACCTGTCCATCACCATCCCACCCCCTGAAGCCCAGGCCCCCAGCAAGCAGGACAGGGTGACCCCCCAGGTGAGGGGCCAGGCTGGGGCCTGCCAGCATGCCACAGGAGCAGACGTGCCCACAGGAGACCCTTCAGTTGATTTTACTTCCCAAAGAGGCTCCTCCTTCCTGAAGCCCCGCCCTTATGCAGCCAGGCCCTCCATCCGCTGCCTCCTTCCTGGGCCTGATAAGATACTGCAGCAAGTTCCTGAGGCCTGGGGTATAGGGAACAGCAGAGCGCTGTCCCTGAGAAAGGGCTCCCAGGCACCCGTGGGCTCTGGCTATTTGCATGCAGATACCCTACCCGGCCAGTTCTCAGTGCCCTTCTGAGGGCTGAGGGGCACAGGGTCCACGCCTTGAGCAGCCTGCCTCTGTAGCATCTGGCTTCTTGGGAAGATGGAAATGAGCTCCTGCCCCATAAAGAGCTCATTGAGGACAGACAAATGGCGTGGGCTTCCTGCTGAGCTGGGGCATAAAGGGGCGCTATATTCGTGCAGCCTGCTCACCCCAGGAGCTGGGCATAGTATACGAGTCCAGTGGAAAGGCGCTGCACAGGATGTCATGCTGGGGTTTGCTGGGAGACAGGAGAAAACAGGATTTTAAATGCATCATAAAGGGCTGGGGATGCGGCTCAGTAGAGGGCTTGCCTAGCATGTGCAAGCCTCTCGGGTCCATGCTCAGCACCACAAAAACAAGCAAATCAGTTAATGAACTAAGTCTGCACAGAAGCAGCTGGGATGGGTGCTGAGCAGGGCTGAGCTTGTTCTCGGGGCTTTCCCTCCGGGAGCTGCACGCGTTACCACCTGTCCACCCTGCAGAGGCCCAAGAACCCAGCCTACATGAAGAGCGTCAGCCTCCAGGAGCCGCAGGGACGATGGCAAGACGGTGCAGAGAAGCGGCCTGGCTTCCGCCGCCAGGCCTCCCTGTCGCAGAGCATTCGCAAGTGAGCACCCGCCCTGCCCAGCCATCCTGGCAACTTGTAGATTCTGGGATCCTGGACATTCGCTGAGCCCATCCCCACGTCCCTTCCAGAAGGTGTGAGAAGGCATTAGCAGGCAGTGGCTCTCTGCATTCGTGGGAGTCTAATATTACGCTGTAGATGGGGAAACTGAGGCCCGGAGGTGTGCACCTTGCAGAAAGCTATCATGTGGAGGCCGAGAAGGTCCGAGGAGCTGGGGGGACGTCCTCCCAGCCCTGCTCCTCCTGCTCCAGCCTTCGCACCGCCTTTGGTCAGGAGGCTTCAGTCAGGGGCTCAAGAAGAGCTGATCCTCACCTCCCCGGCAGCGCGTGGACGCGAGTGTGTGCCCCTCCCCTCCCTTGCACACTTGGTCACCGTCACACACACTCTGCCCTCTGGCTGCACGTGCTGGTGTGCGTGTGCACCACCCACCCTCCGGTCTGCTCTGCAGGGGCACAGCCCAGTGGTTCGGGGTCAGCGGCGACTGGGAGGGCAAGCGGCAGCACTGGCAGCGTCGCAGCCTGCACCACTGCAGCGTGCGCTACGGCCGGCTCAAGGCCACGTGCCAGAGGGACCTGGAGCTGCCCAGCCAGGAGGGGCTGTCCTTCCAGGGCACCGAGTCTCCAAAACCGTCCAAGATGCCCAAGGTGGGCTCCGAGGGCGCGGGCGGCTCCCCCACCCCGGGGACTGGATGGCCCTGCTCACCCTCCGTCTCCTCCAGATTGTGGATCCACTGGCCCGGGGTCGGGCCTTCCGCCACGCAGACGAGGTAGACCGGCCCCACGTCCCCCACCCGCCACTGACCCCTGGGGTCCTGTCCCTCACCTCCTTTACCAGCGTCCGCTCTGGCTACCTGCCCCGCCGCAAGAGGATGTCCGTGGCCCACATGAGTTTCCAGGCTGCCGCCGCCCTCCTCAAGGTGGGAACCCCTCCTGCAGGCACCTTCGCCCTCTCACCCTACAGCATCCCCGGAGCTCACCCAATGCCAACCTTCTCACCATGGGTGTTCTGGGATTCTTTAGAGGGGTACCCCAGTTCTCATGGAGCCCCCCACCGCCTGTCTGCACTGACCCATCAGCCAAGGAAGTAGGAAGTGAGCTGAACGCTTGTCTCTCGCCAGCCTGTGTTGCTGGGCGGGGGAGGTGCCCAGGCGCAGGCAGTGTCACCGCTTGGTGGTCAGGTTGGGAGAGGCTAGTGTCAGGGAAGCCACGAACTCGGCAAAGGAAGGAGGGAACGGCATTCTCAGCTGTGGAAACGGCTTAGGCAAAGGCCCTGTGGTCCTGCCAGGAGCATGGTGCTTGAGGGAGCGGTTGGATGGGGTTTTAGCGAGGATGACTATGAAAAGTGTGGCTGGAGATGTAGGGTCATTCAGGTGAGCAGGGACCTGGTATGCCAGGCCAAGAAACAGAAACGGGGAGCACAGGGTGTTAGGGTGTCAGCCGCTCATGGCACGGGCAGGAGGTTGCCAGGGAGGAGCTGACTCCAAACCACGGAGAGTAGGGAAGTAGGGCTGAAGGGCACCCTAGCCTTCCTCCCTCCAGGGCTGCTTTGGCCTGTATTCCTCCCCTGTGCGCATGCGTGGGCAGGAACCCACTCCCAAATGCTGCTCCAGGGCGGCAGGTCCTTTGGTGCTGAGGGACTAGGGACCTGGGCTGCTGCACCCCCGTCCTGATGCCCCGGCTTCTGCCTCGTGTGCAGGGGCGCTCGGTGCTGGACGCTACTGGACAGCGGTGCCGGGTGATCAAACGCAGCTTTGCCTACCCCAGCTTCCTGGAGGAGGATGCGGGCGATGGGGCAGACACCTTTGACTCCTCCTTTTTTAGTAAGGCAAGCGTGGGGTGTGGGCCCTTGGGGGACGGGATGGGGCAGCCTGGGAGCTGGGAAGGGCACCGTCAGCCTTGATCCTGTGCTATGGGTCCCAGAAAGACCCAAAGGCCTGTGGACCCATTGGTGGGGTGGGCTGTGTCCTGTGTGGGGCTGCGGGCTGGGCCCCTGCTTTCCTCAGGCAGCGCAGGAACCGGGGTGGGGACAGTGACCATAGGGGAAGTGACCATCAAGGCTGACAGGCGTGTGGCCTCTCCTTCCACCTTAAAGAGCCTATCTGTCCACCCTTGTCTTCGCCTTGATCTGGGGTGTTGGGGGACGTCATTTGGGACAGTGACTCCTTATGCCATCGTCTGTGTCCTCCATGCCAGGAAGAAATGAGCTCCATGCCTGACGACGTGTTTGAGTCTCCCCCACTCTCTGCCAGCTACTTCCGAGCAATCCCACTTTCAGCCGCTTCCGTCTCCCCCGATGGAGTGCACATCCCTCTGTAAGTGCGGGCTGGGTCCCTCCTGCCTCCCAGCACCTCAGCCCCGGGGGTGGCTATCTGGGGGACGTGGGGACATCGGGCTGAGAGCCACTGTCCCCCAGGAAGGAGTGCGGCCACACCCCCGTCCCGGCGACCCGGCGCGGCAAGCCCATCGCCTCCACCGTGAAGCACTTCGCCTTCGACAGGAAGAAGCGGCACTACGGCCTGGGCGTGGTGGGCAACTGGTTGAACCGCAGCTACCGCCGCAGCATCAGCAGCACGGTGCAGCGGCAGCTGGAGAGCTTCGACAGCCACCGGTGGGCTCCGTCCCCAGGCCAAGGGATGGGAGCCTCCCTGTCCTCCTGGGCCCCCACGGTCAGCCAACGCCGCAGGAGCCGGAGTGTGGCCACGGCTGGGGGCGCCTGTGCTCTGGGAGCCCCGGAGTCCCACCGCCTCTCCTCCAGCTCCTGCTTTCTTCCTGCAGCCTCAGCCCAGCACCCAGTTAGTCAGCTCGCTGAGCAGCACCACACACACAGCCTGCAGCCCCGAGGAAAGGGAGCCGGGAGCCGGGCGGATCCATGGGACAGTTGGGCTGTGAGGGCTGTTGCGGGAGGCTGTGCACAGTGACCTTGAGGGAAACCAGAGATCGGGGAAGGTGATTCTCAGTGTATGATTGGCAGTGTGACCTGATAGACATTGAACCTTAAATTACGAGTAACAAGAACAAGTGTAGTCAGTGTCCTGGACAGACGGACAGAGAGGGTGAAGAGCTCATCGGGAGAGTTGCTGTCAAGATGAGATGGGTGAATGGAAATGGGCAGAGCCTCCCAGGCAACAGAAGTGTCATATGCAAAGGTCCTGGGGCTGCAGGAACTAAAAGGAAAGGAAAGAGCCAGCACAGGTGGGCAAGCACAGCAAGGCCATGCAGTCTCTGCAGCAGAGGGTGATTTTGAACTTCATCCTCAGGGCGTTGGGAAACCATCAAGGGTTTTAAGCTGAGAGAGACACTCAGATGCATCTGAAAGTTGCTCTGGGGAAGGATGCATCGGGATGAGGAGAAGCGGAGTCCGGGGCGGCCTCATGGCTGAGCTGACCTGAGCCTCTGTCCCCAGGCCCTACTTCACCTACTGGCTGACCTTCGTCCACATCGTCATCACACTGCTGGGGATGTGCACGTACGGCATCGCACCCGTGGGCTTTGCCCAGCACGTCACCACCCAGCTGGTGAGCCGACTCCCCGCGGGGCCCGGCCTCCCCTTGAGGCTTCCCCAGATCTCTGCCTCCCACACCCAGCCCCAAGCAAGAGGTGCTCGGGCTCACCTTGGCCTGGCCCCTTCCCAGAGGGACCGGGGACTGTCCTGTTCCTTGCCCCTTCCTGGCTCCGGACTCAGCCTTCTGATGCCACCTCTGCAACAGGTGCTGAGGAACAAAGGTGTGTACGAGAGCGTCAAGTTCATTCAGCAGGAGAACTTCTGGGTCGGCCCCAGCTCGGTGAGGCCCAGGCCGGGGATGCTGTCAGCAGGAAGCCCCTGTCCGGGCAGGTGGGCAGCTGCCTGTCCGGCCCCTCATCGAGGGGAACTTACCGGGTAGAGGCAGAGTGGTGGCCCCGCCAGTCTGGGCCCAGGCTCACCAAGCCCTGCCCCACCCCCAGATCGACCTGATTCACCTGGGGGCCAAATTCTCCCCCTGCATCCGGAAGGACCGGCAGATCGAGCAACTGGTGCAGCGGGAGCGGGACCTGGAGCGTGACTCGGGCTGCTGTGTACAGAATGACCACTCGGGCTGCATCCAGACCCAGAGGAAGGACTGCTCGGTGGGCCCCAGTCCCTGCCACCCCACTCTGCTTCCTCCCTGCCCCACCTGCCACGGCCCGGGGAGAGTCCTTTAAGGGCCATGACCGTGTCCCCTCCATCCCCCAGCTCTGTAGCCCCCACACACCCACAGGCCCTTAGCTCAGCACAGAGACTGGTGCTGAGTGGTCCCTCCTGCTTCCCAGCTTGGCCCGCTGCCCAAGAGGCCAGGGCCGGGTCTCAGAAGGGTCAGCCCACGGTGGGCATCGGGAAAAAGCCCCTGTCCTGGAGGCTGTGACCTTGCGCTGGTGTGACCAGACCTTCCCCACCCTCCAGGAGACTTTGGCCACTTTTGTCAAGTGGCAGGATGATACTGGGCCCCCTATGGACAAGTCTGATCTCAGTCAGAGACGGACGTCAGGGGCTGTGTGCAACCAGGACCCCAGGTACAGTGAGAGCTGCCCGTGCGTCCAGAGCACCCGGACCGGCTGTGTCTGATCTCAGTCAGAGACGGACGTCAGGGGCTGTGTGCAACCAGGACCCCAGGTACAGTGAGAGCTGCCCGTGCGTCCAGAGCAGCCGCGGCCGGGCTGCCTCGCTCGGGCCAGCTGGATGCTGGGGGGTGGGCTGCCCGGCAGGGGTGCTGCAGCCCCTCACTCTACCCACTCTGATCTCTGCCTCTAGGACCTGTGAGGAGCCAGCCTCCAGTGGTGCCCACATCTGGCCCGACGACATCACCAAGTGGCCGGTGAGTGAGAATGCCCCCAAGTGAGCGCCCTGGGTAGAAAGTGGCTTGGGAAGGGCGGGGATGGTGGCTTCCGTCGCTCAGCCAGCCCGGTGTGTCCCCTCTGCAGATCTGCACAGAACAGGCCAGGAGCAACCACACTGGCTTCTTGCACATAGACTGCACGACCAAGGGGCGCCCCTGCTGCATTGGCACCAAGGGCAGGTGAGCGGGCCTGGCGCTCCCAACCCCAGCCGCCGCCCTCTGCCCCAGACAGGTCACCCGTGGTGTGAGCAGGAGGAAAGGGAGCTTTCCTGGGCTGAGGGCTCCCTCCCTGCCTGCTGTGGCCGGGGGCTGGGCCCCAGTCCAGATGGCAGGGCTTCCTCAGCACCCTGACGCCCCTCCTTCCTTTCTGTGCCCGCAGCTGTGAGATCACCACTCGGGAGTACTGTGAGTTCATGCACGGCTATTTCCACGAAGAGGCCACGCTCTGTTCCCAGGTGGGGTGAGGCCCCGCAGGGGTCAGGGCAGGGCTGTGAGCCTGGGCAGAGGAAGGTGAGCACTGAGGTCTACTGGGGTTCCCGGACTCAGCCAGCACTGAGCACATGTGCTCCCCACGCCCCCAGGTGCACTGCTTGGACAAGGTGTGCGGGCTGCTGCCCTTCCTCAACCCTGAGATCCCAGACCAGTTCTACAGGCTCTGGCTGTCGCTCTTCCTGCATGCCGGGTAAGGGGGTCCTCACCACCCCCAACCTGGACCCCAACCTGCCCGGCCCCTTTGTGTCTGAAGTGCTGACGTGCTGTGTGCCGGCCCCCAGCTTGGTGCACTGCCTCGTGTCTGTGATCTTCCAAATGACCATCCTGCGCGACCTGGAGAAGCTGGCTGGCTGGCACCGCATGGCCATCATCTTCATCCTCAGTGGCATCACGGGCAACCTTGCCAGCGCCATCTTCCTCCCGTACCGGGCAGAGGTAGGGACTTGCGGGACAAGGGCACGGAGCAGGGAAAGGTGCCCCACTCCAGCCTGACGCTCTGTGGCACGTGGGGAGGGCCAGGCTTCTGCCCCCCGTCCCACCCACTCGGGATGCACCCGAGGGACACGGGACCCCTCCCGTGCAGCTCGACAGCACGTGGACAGCTAAGCCGGGGCTCATCGGTGGTCCCTTGGTCCCTAGCAAGAGGGACTGTGGTGATCGTGAGTCACCAGGCACAGCAAGCCCCACCTGGCTCAGTGGCTACCTCCAGCGGGAGCTTCCCTGTCCCTCTTCACTGCTCCATTTCTGGTCCCAGCCATGGTGCTTCCCAACAGCATCAGGAGCCTCGGGGGGGGCGAGCCTGCTGCTTCCCGTGGCCCAGACTCGAGCATTTTACCCCTTCACCCTCACTCTTACTTATGCTGTTCTGCCGCCCACCCAGAGCTGGCTCGTTTTGCTAATTGCATGGACCCACACTGGGCAGCGACCCAGTAGGTGCTCGCCGTGTGCTGAAAAGAGAAGGGTGGAGTAGCCCAGCCGTGCCGGGCCCCTTCCTCGGAGTTGGGCCCCGGTGCCGGTCAGCCTGGTCCCCGGCACCCAGGGCAGCGTGTTGCCCCTCCTCCGTCCCAGGTGGGCCCGGCTGGGTCACAGTTTGGCCTCCTCGCCTGCCTCTTCGTGGAGCTCTTCCAGAGCTGGCAGCTGCTGGAGCGGCCCTGGAAGGCCTTTTTCAACCTGTCCGCCATCGTGCTCTTCCTGTTCGTCTGTGGCCTCTTGCCCTGGATCGACAACATTGCCCACATCTTCGGCTTCCTCAGCGGCCTGCTGCTGGCCTTCGCCTTCCTGCCCTACATCACCTTCGGCACCAGCGACAAGTACCGCAAGCGCGCGATCATCCTGGTGTCACTGCTGGTCTTCGCCGGCCTCTTCGCCTCCCTGGTCCTCTGGCTCTACATCTACCCCATCAACTGGCCCTGGATCGAGCACCTCACCTGCTTTCCCTTCACCAGCCACTTCTGCGAGAAGTACGAGCTGGACCAGGTGCTTCACTGACCCCCAGCCCGGAGGCACAGGTGTCTCGGGGACTGTGCCTGCTGGGGGCTGCATGTGCCCGAGAGCCTGGGACTGGCCCCAGGCCCAGCCACTCGCCCAGCTCGGTGGGCTGACTCCGCGTGAGGCAGCCAGCAAAGGCGGTTCCCGGGGTGTGGGCCCCCCTTCTCAGGCCTGGGTGTTCCTGGCCCAGCTTGGGGACACCCAGGACACCTGCTTCTCCGAAGCTCTGGTTCCAGGCCCCCTCTTGAAGGGGACCTCTCTTGCGGGGACCCCTCTGGGGACAGTTTCTTTTCTTCCCAGGGCTGGGGCTGCTGCATCTGCTGGTGCTTCTCCCCACTGTCACTGTGAGCACGCCCTTGCCAGACCAGACACGTGGCTGCTCCCTCTGTTTCCCCAGGACCAGGGTCCCCACCATGGCCCGCTTCCTGCTTCTTCCTCTCCTGTCTCCCCTGAGCGCACCTGTTTCATCTGAGGCCTCGTGAGCTCCTGACAGGCATCTGGGAGAGGCTGCGGCCATGGTGCAGGCACAGACCAAGCAGGGAGACAACCTGACGGGGACAGGGACCCAGGAGCCTTTGCTTGTTTTGAGCAACAGTGGCTGGATCCCCCAGGCCCCCTCAGCCCTCCTGTGGTGTCAGTGTTCTGTCTGATGCCAGGCGGCCCCACCACCTCTGCCTCATTTTTGCCCCTGTGAAGGGGACAGGGCTGGGGACCTGCTCCTGGGGTGCCCGAGGCTCAGTTGTGCTTGGGTCTGGTTTTGTTTTTTTGTTTTGTTTTGTTTTTTACTAGTTTATGTTATGGTTCTAATTTTTTTGTTTTTGGTTTTGGTTTTGGTTTTATTTTTTTGAGACAGGGTCTCACTATGTAGTTGAGACTGACCTGGAACTCACTATGTGGCCCAGGCTGGTCTTGAACTCCCAGCAATCCTCCTGCCTCAGCCTCCCGAGTGCTGGGATTACAGGTGTGCACCACCACACCTGGCTCCTATGGTTCTAAGTTTTAAAAGTAACGCTAACTTTGTATGGATGACTTCTCAAGTACATTAAATGATATTCTTTGTGGAAATACTCTCTTTGAACTGAGACCCCCAGGGCAGTGACGGCTGGAACTTTTGGGACTGAGGGCATCAGCTCAGAGGCAGTGACTTGAGTCGAAGGACAGCAAAAACTTGTAGGACTTTTTGGGATTTAGCTGAACCCCAAAGTATCATGGAGCCAGAGGGAAGACCTCAGGGGGCCTCCTGTAAGGACCGAGCATCACACTTAGATGCCTGGAGCCCTGCCCCACCCCGCTCCACCTTCGAGGTGAGGACACCGGCTCACCCTGGCTGAGACGCTTGTAGCGGGAGAAGGCAAGACCTTGCCGTTACTCCAGACAGGGACGTGTCCCTTCACCACCCCTGCACCTCACCCCCGGCCACGCAGCACACCAGCAAGTCACCCAGGAGGCACTGAGACGTGGCTGCTGTATTGTGTGGCAGACAAGTCCGTGTGGGACAGTGGGATGGCCAGGAGGGAAGAGGGGCAGGTGGGGCACATGGGACCCTGGCAGAGGAGGGAGCAGCCCTCCTATGTACTTTCCTGCCCCGGGGCTGCCCGTCATTCAGGACCCTGGCCTCTCACCATCCTGCTCCTGGCTCTCCCCAGTACAGGGGGCTGAGGCCCCCAAGTAGCAGGATGAGGCAGGAAAAGCAGAAGGGACCTGAAAACACTTCCCACCATCCCCATTGACCAAGCCTGGTCTTGGGCACAGAGTTTGGAGGGAGGGAGGAGGCCCAGGGGACACCCCGTGAGGACAGAGGACATGGCTCTGTCTCCTGTCTGTCTGAACAGACTGGGCCAGGTCAAGCCACCCCCTCTCCTCCCTTGGCCCCTCAGGCTGGGAGTCACTCTCTGCCCACGTGCTCCAGCCCCAGCCTGCCGCCCCACCTCCCGGGGCCAGGCAGCAGCCCAGCTCAGCAGCCGCTGTTCCTGCGCAGGAAGGTGTGACCATGCAGCGAGCACTGGAGCTCTGTGAAGGCGAGGGAGCCCACGGTGATGGCGCATGGGCCCACAGCCCGGAAGCCGAACTTCTCGTAGAAGGGCACCAGCGCATGCTCGCACATGAGCACGGC